CACCCCCCCGACTCCCACACCGATGGACAATTAAGCGACAGACAATCCCCGCACTTCCGATTAGCACCGTTGGATACGTACGGTGCGAAATAAGTTCAACGTGTACATACCTCAGTGGGCTTTGCCTGGTAGGACGAGGATGGTTTAATTTTGTTTTCATGTTGGTGGGTGATTTGTTTACATTCTCTTGTACTTTGCCCTACTATCATGTATGCAGTCTATTCATAGTCTCAAGCCGCACCTTACCATAATAATAAAAAGTGTGCCGTTCCTGGTAATCTCTCATTCACTTGATACAGCTGTCGGGCTGTGACGGTTCCACCTGTAGACGGAAGCTTGTGTTGCCTCCGAAACGTCGTGATTTTTATTTTATTTTTATTTTACTTTTATTAATTTTAATTTTTACCTACGTGACTTTACCGAAAAACCTAAGAATATTACTATCATGTTTTTCGTCTTGTTGTTGTAACGTTCGTGCCCAACCCGACTGGACATCTGTGAAAAAGAGCGGTCACCAATCTCATAAGCACAGACCGCATTGCAACACCACTGGCGACTTCCGTCATTTGCCGGTGGCGTTTGAGATATTTCGATATTCACCGGGTTAATTTGCTCTTCCTTCCCTCGCACCTCCGAAAAGCGCGGTTGGCTACGTACGGTGCGAGAGAAGTTCAAAATACATACGTACAACATGCATTGTATACTCTTTGGTTCTTTCGGTAAAGTCACGTAGGTATAAAATAAAATAAATGACGACGTTTCGGACGCAACACAAGCGTCCGTCATGCAGGGATGCAAGCATGCTTTACCACCTGATGACGAGTATGGACTCCTGCAGTCACGAAAGCTTCAAATCAACATGCATACTCCTTAATACAGGTTTTTTGGGACGATCACGTAAATATATAAATGTGTCGTTAAACCCACCACCACCCCACACAGCCAATAAGTAAGGTTTGTCACGTAAACAGAACGTGCCAATAGGTCACTAGGACAGCACAACCGGTGTGTCGGAGAGCCAAGCCACAACATTTACAATGCATACGCCTGCAGCCGTACGCTGTCTCAGTCGACAAGCTCCACGTGAGCACAATACGAAAGTCGATTGTCTCGCCATGCGAATAGGGGCAGCGTCGCATGTAAAATGGCCATGGTTCCACCACGTGTCAACGCGGGGCCTACGAATCACCTCGCGAGTTTGCACCTCGAACCGCGGACCGAAGAGGCAGGAGAAGAGCTAGGGGAGTTGCCAGATAGAAGGGTAAACAACCAATTATCATATTTTTACTGGCAAATGAGGTTCCCATAGTGTAGATGCTTGCCCCGAGCTCTCATACTCTGATGGTGCATTGTCTTTGAGTTGTGCGCCTTTTGGTGTCATCTGGTCCAACCCATGTGAGACTAGGCTCTAAGGAAAGCTGTCTCGGGTGTGGACCAATCAACTTCAAGGACAGTGCATACATTATCAGAGTTATGTCTTTTGTTTGTATTATGACTGCAGGTATTGCGGTCTATGCAAACATGACTCCTTGTAAAAAGGTGTCAGTTTTGTTGCCAGATAGAAGGGTAAACAACCAATTATCATATTTTTACTGGCAAATGAGGTTCCCATAGGGTGACGACTCCTTGAAGCCCACGGGGAAGGGGAGTTTCACAACATCCGCGTGTGGTGATTCAGCAACCCGCGGCGATGCGTCCACAGTGCCGGATTATTATGCGTGTGCGTAGGCACCGCTGCCCGCCACGCGCCTGCAATCAAATAACAGAATCAAATGAAGGATGGCCTCACCGAACGCGGGGGTCACCGCGTTCCTGGAGAATGCCGCGTATTGCCGAAACACGCGATTCGACGATGTCGCGCCGGGCAAGGCTTTCCCCGCTTAATAATAACAACTCTTGGAACCATACTCTTAGTTCTTTCGGTAAAGTCACGTAGGTAAAAAATGAAATTAAAATTAATAAAAATAAAACAATAAAAATCACGACGTTTCGGAGGCAACACAAGCTTCCGTCTTCAGGTAAAAAATTTTTTTAATTTTAATTTTATTTTTTACCTACTGAACGTTACCGAAAGAACTAAGAGTATGAATCCTTGCAGTCACGAAAGCTTCAAATCTAGAACTCTTGGAACCTCCGAGTTCAACCAGTCTACACAACAAAGGCTCATTCCTAACAGCGTGCTTCAGCCGCACCGAACCTCACAATAATAATATCCAGGGCCCACCTTGGCTCCTCCCACCCTCAACCAGTATATATACAAGGACTGTTTTCTTGGTATTTCTCTTACTTGATACAGCTATCGTGCTGTGACGGTTCCACCTGAAGACGGAAGCTTGTGTTGCCTTCGAAACGTCGTGATTTTTATTTTACTTTTATTAATTTTAATTTTTTACCTACGTGACTTTACCGAAAACAACCTAAGAATAATAATAAGACGTTCGCGCTGGGGCTAAAACGAAGCGTGACCCGGCGTGCGATGATGAGCGAAAACCACTCGCGAGTGCCACGTGCACAGCGAGTGAACCCGCGCCGTCGCCCGACCCGCCGTGCGGCTCGTTAGCTCGCGAGCTGCTGCTGCTCGAGTGCAGGTGGTCGCGGGCTCGGGACGTCTGTAGATTGTCAAGGGCGGTGGTGGGGGGGGGGGTCAACCGTCGGGTGACCGCGAGGGGAGCCCGCGTCCTTGACCGCTGAGAAGAGCGGTGCATTTAGGAAGCGCACGACGACAACAATGAAAACTCCAACTGCCGCGTGGCGATTTGGGCTCCCCTCGAGCTGCGCACCACAGACACAAATGTGGACCCACTTGTCATTCCAACTCGGCGCCCTTGGCTGGGTACTGGAGTTGGCTGTGAACCCTGCCGCCCAGTGCCAAAACAGCCCCCCCCCCACCTCCCCACCATCTCCCCGGAATAGATGTAACCCATTAACAAGATTGGGAAGGAAAAAAAAGCCCGAACTTTATACAATACAGGAACAACAAAAAACAATTTATATTCGATTAAGTAGAATCCCATTAATGCTGAGGCACACACTGCAGAATCTCCTTAAAGTAGGGAGCCATTTTACATTATTACCGTGGTGTCTGCAACACATTTGCCCTCTGCTGTAATCGTGGCTTAATTTAATTTAAGCCGGGGCTGTCCAGGGCTGAGCTCTGGAAAATGTTTTGCTTGTGTCGGGGGCGGGAGGGGGGGGCGTCCACGTATAGAGGTTGGGGGGGGGGGTGTGTGTGGTTGGGAGTTTGGGAGGCCCTGGAAAACATTTCCCCGATAAATTAAGCCATGCTGTAATCGGATTTTTCCTGCTATAACATGGATCAAAAACAACATTCGACAATTCAGCTGGAACAAGATCTGAGCAGGGTACCAGAGGGACGTTTAGGAGATGCAAAAGTCCAAGTTTCAAGTTCATGTATTAGGTGTAGAGCCCTGTGAGCCATTCGGCTCTTGAATCGGGTGCAACCGCAACAAACAAAAAACAAAAACATGAACAAAAAAAATATGTTAAAGTGACTATGTGCAAACAGAAAATCCAAGAAAAGACAGCAAGATATTGCAGAAAAAGCACCGTACACCAACACTGTGTGCAAAAATCCCAGTGGGATGCAAGTTAAACAACAACAACAACAACCACAAGACAACTTAGATTAAGGCCATCAGTCTAACTCTGTACTACAACAAACAAACATGGCCAAACCGAAAAACTTTCGAAAATCACCAAAATAAAGCCATAAAAGCAATGAAACAGTGATCATAGGAACTGTGACCAAATTTTCACAATGAACGACGTAAACAACATCTACCACCAAACTCTGCAGCCATAGCTGGCTGCACGAGTCACTCCACAACAGCAGGAGCATCAGTCGGAGTGTCAACATTTTTCAATGCACCTTTAAGATCAGCACACTAAATCAAAACACAGATCATACTTTGCAGCGATCATCCGGCGCGAAACATTGTATTTTAGGCCACTGAATTGCAGCGGCAGCTAGGGATGTACAACTCCTCTAGAGCAGAGAGCACATTGAATTGAGAGAGACCCAGGAGCCTTTGGGGACTTTTGTCCGTGAAGTCTCCGTGCCCCCTCCCTGCGGCTCTGTACCGGGCTCACGTTGAAATCATATAAAAAAAAATATATGTCTCTAACTTAAGATAAGCAAGTGTGCATGAGCAGGGTGAAGCGATAGAGGGTACGGTAGTGCCTATGGACGAGACACGTGACAAAATGGCAACTGAAGGAGGGAATGTGCCTGGGAACGCGTCCTCCGCGGAGATGGAGCGAGACGGATTGTGGCATCGCCGTAGGGCCACGCGGGGTGGGGGGTGGGGCAGGTGACAACTTGGGAGTAGGCCTTCATCCAGCAGTAGATAGATAAATGCTGTCGATGAGGAATCCCATGCAAAAAATTAAAAATAAAAATTATATTCGTTTACACATCTGACATTTTTACCGTGGACTGTCGTTTTTACTTTTCGATTTAAAGCTTTCGTGACTGCAGGGATTCATATTCTTGGTGCTTTCGGTAAAGTCACGTAGAAGGGAAGTAATAAAATAATAAAAATAAAACATAATAAAATAAATTATCCGACTGATGCTCCTGCTGTTGTGGAGTGAAGATGTCGTTTTAACTGTTAAACTGAATGATGTAAAAATAAAAAATACGATTAATTTACAGCACTTTATCCAATCCACTGCTGGATGAAGGCCTCCTCTCCCCCACCCCCCCCCCCCCCCAAAATCATGTCAATCATGAATTTTAATTGACCATACTTCACCACGCTGGTTTGGATATCCCCCTCTGACCAACGCTGTTAGTCACGTCTGGGGAATCTAACTCGGCTTGACGAATTTCACGGTTTCGCAGCGCGGTACTCTGACCGATGCGTCTATCCTGCACTCCGTCATCGCGCATTAACGAAGCCAGCCTGGTCAGCACTGCGTTTGCTACTCTCAGCCGCGTGATGTTTATTAATTGTTGCTTCTCTCTTGCCCCCTGACAGTGACCTTTCCAATAACAAGCTGACAAGCCTCTCTTGGAAGACCTTCCACGGACTCAACCTCTCGAAGCTGTAAGTGTCTGCGGCTTAAACTCCCCACACATTGGCCTCGACCCTCTCGCACTGCTCGTTATGAACATTTTTTTCAAGTATATATTCTCTTTCTCGTTTTAATGATTGCGTCTTTATGAAAATGGTACCAAAATGTATACGTTTAAGTATATACACAAGAAGCAACTAGGGATTGAAGGAACTGAGTTAAAATAAGCTGGCAATTTTAGTTTTAATTGTGTGCCACGTGATGTGTTGTTTATTCGGGGGGGGGGGGGAGGGGGGTGGTATTTGTGGTTAATTGTGGTTAATAATACATTTTAGAACCGACGCCAACAGGTTGTGTGGAATTATCCTACGTGCGGCTTTTCAATTTGTTGGGGCCAGTGATGGCAGGGACACTATTAGTTGCTCTGCACGAGTTGCAGGGCACCGCTGCGCTGTATTTAGGATGTTAACGTCATTTATTTGGGTGCTTGATGCAAGTCGGCGACTGGAATTTTAGTTTTTAAGTCAAAACGGCCAACAATATCACAACCCGCTCTCACAGCTTTTGCTATTTTCACCACAATATTCGTTGTTGTTTTTTTTAAACTAAATCTGAGCAAGGTGCATGTTTTGACAAGGTGACGGATGTATTTTAGTGAGTTGGGAATTAGAAAAAAAATAGTAAGTCACGGCATAGCTCATCATAATTAAATATCACCCTTGTCCCACGAGAAATTGTAGGTGATAAGGTTAAGATCTGCAGAGAAAACACTTGAGCTCAGAGTGGTCATTCTCCCCGCTAGAATAAAGAGGAGAAAGGGAAGGGGAGGAAAAAAACTGTGAAAAGGTCAGCGTTCCGACTTGATGTGCGTCATATGCATTACGCGCGCGTGCACATTGAACTAAAACACACTTATTTTTTTTCTCTTCCATTAATATTTACGGGATGGGGGGTGGGGCAGAATGTATTTTACTAAATCACCTCAAGCGCGTGCCTGTAATAAAGTGACCGCTTACGAAAGTGGAGTCAAAGGTTGACACACGGTGGAAGTAGGGAGGGGTGGGGGAGAAAACTTTCCACAGCGGAATACAATTTAGCCCAGAATATATTCCGTACGAGGCAGTGCCTTGGTAACACTCACGGTTGGCAACGCAGGCCAGTTCGATTCTACCTCCTGGCACGGTAGCCCCGAAACTCTGAATGAGGTTAAACGTTTCTTAAATCCCATTTTGGAGTGGCTTTCTCAAAATCCCCCCCCCCTCTTCTTGTCCAGTCCCTTCGGCCAGCAGGGGCACGAGCGAGCAATTGCAGGGCTACACCTATACCTGCACCTTCACATTATTTCAAAACCTCTGACATTACAAGCCAGAAAAAATTAACCCGTAAAAACAAAGTTTTTCACTATAAATCCTTTATATGCGTGGCATCGGTTTTATTTTATTATTCATTTCTGTTTTTCTTGAGTAAGAGTCTTATTTTTATCACATTGGTATTTTAAATTAAATATGATGGGTTTTTTTTCTTAAAAAGTGGAAAATTTTGGGAAAATTTTTTTCCGAAAATAAATTGTCACGCACAACGAGTCTGTGTGTAAAATGTCAGCTCGATTGGATCACGGGAAGTGGGTTAAAAAACGACCGAAAGATTTGCACGGTCGTAAGCGCGCAAGCAAGCAAGCAAGTGAACTTAATATAAAGGATTTAAAAATAACGTCCGTCGAGTTGCAGCATCTCCCAGAAAGCAAACGACTGCAAACTCTTTTTTGTGTCACGGTTTGTTTTTCATAGTTTAGTTGCAATTAATATTCACTCTTTACAATTGGTCGCGCTCGATGGCACCGTGTATGAAATGTCCCCCGATTGTGAATGGTGAAGCGAAGTCGTTCACATTGCTTTGGCAATTCCCTGGCTGTCACTGGAAAATCCATGCGCAGGCTGATCCAGGGATGGGATGATGGGGTGAGAGATGATAGCAAGATCTCGCCTTCTTGCGGCTTCCGGCTAGGTATTTATGGGAAACAGAACATTGAAAATGTAATTTGAATGTTTTTTTTATATATTATATATAGGGTGAACAAATCTCATTTTATGTACATTACAAAAAAAACATTGCACACACATTACGTGTGTGGCAATAAATTACAATTCATACGACAAAGGGGTAAATGAATTGTTGTTTGATAACGCAACGTGAAACAAGACGGTTAAATTCGTACAACCGACATAATTCAGAATTCTTATTGGTTCTTTCGGTAAAGTCACGTAGGAGGGAAGTAATAAAATAATAAAAATAAAACATGATAAAATAAAATCATCCTCACGACGTTTCGGCTACAACGCAAGCAGCCGTCTTCTTCACCTGAAGACAGCTGCTTGCGTTGTAGCCGAAACGTCGTGAGAATTATTTTATTTTATTATGTTTTATTTTTATTATTTTCTTACTTCCCTTCTACGTGACTTTACCGAAAGAACCAAGAAGATGAATCCCTGCAGTCACGAAAGCTTTAAATCGAAATATAATTCAGAATTCTTTTTTCTTTTGAGTGAGGTTATGGAAAAATCTGTAGCGTACCCCCACCGCCCACCCGGCCGACGAATTAAATCGTTCCGTGAATTAAACACGTGGCGTTCCGAGATCTGAACTCCCGTTAACAACCTGACCGATGCTGGACGTGAACGTCCAGTGAAACATCGTTCCCATGTAAAGATTGTGAGATTCCTCTCCGGCAACAACAATACGTGTGTATGTGAGTACGGTGGAAAACTTCTTTTGCACCGTACGTAGTCAACCGCGCTAATCGGAGGTGCGGGGGAAAGACAACAAACGAAATACAAAATCGGTTCTAAAAGACATGAGAATTCACAACACCGTTGGCGCTGCTAAAGCAGTCATACGTTTGTCCTCGTTTGACCCCCGTGACACGATCATTCATCGGCTGTGTCGGGTGGAGAAGGGTGTGCCGACACAAATTTTTACACGATGATCTAACGCAAATGAAATTATTCGTGAATTATGCAAAGATGGTCTTGAAAATAACCGAATTTAAAGTAGGGGCAGTTTAATGTGTTTACAAGGCTCGCAGACATTACCATTGTTACCGTGTATGTCTGCGTCTATGCATGGGTACCCTTTGGCGAGCGAGATTCTTCTGACATTTACTTTGTGTCATGAGGTTAACGCTGTTCAACTGCCCGATTGTTTGTAATTTTAATGATTTTTTTCCCTCCTCCGCTTTCCCGACTGGAAATTGTGTTGTAAACAAAACCCATCGTTCAAGTGGTGGGGAAAATCCTATTTAAATGCTCTTTCAAATACATAATATTAAACCATGTAAGACATGAAATAAACGCTATAGGAATTCAATACAAACCAAATCAATACCAAATGGTATATATGATCCAATGTGCCTCTTTACTCTCCCATGAAATCTTACAGAATATTAATTTGGAAAAAAATTGGTTTCGTGTTGGACTGTCCCATGCCGAGATCTCCAGTAAAAACACGGAACGTCGGACAAACGTTGATCCAACGTCAGGTTATAACCGCATGCCAACGTTGACCCAACGTTGCATCTTAGAGTATTTAGCTGCTGCTATACATTTCCACATGATGATAAGCCACTTCGTTGAGCTATCATTTGTGACTGGGTCGCCTGTGCAAAAAGAGCTACATAGTTCAGTGGGCCTTACCTAGTAAAATAAAAATAAACAGTTTTTTTATGTTTACTGGGTCTCTGTTCGCAATTGTGGCTTTACACCGCATGCACCAGGAACCATGGACATGCATCTCAATTCTGTGAACAACAAATGTCTTCATTTAAATCGCGGGTTTTTCATAGCTTGCAGTGTGATCCAGAATTGTTTTTTTGGGTTTGGGCGTCCTGGTCGTATTCTCACGCCCCCAAATTCCTGCCGTTTGCTCCCCGCAACCCGACCAAGATTGTCACGTTTAACAGAGATATTATTACTCGTTGGTCCTTTCGGTAATGTCACGTAGGTTTAAAATAAAATAGCAGCGCTCCACTTCCCTCCCACCTCTCTGTCTCTCCTCCCTGGCTCCCCCCTCCCCCTCTCACTTACCTAAATAGCCTCTTTTCACGGCAGCTCTTTTGCCCACTTCAGCAATTGTTTCTTGCTGTGGTTGTCCCACCTGATGACGGACGCTTGTGTTGCGCCCGAAACGCCGTGATTTAATGTATTTTATTTTATACCCACGTGACTTTACCGAAAGAACCAAAGAGTATGGATCCCTGCAGTGACGAAAACTTAAATTCTAGAGAGATATTATTTACACCCTGCCGATGCATTGTTCGAGTCGTGACCAACGAAGCCACTCCCCGCTGGGGACTTGCGATTTTAAGTGACTGGTATGCAACGCCAACGTCCAGCGAGCCGTTTAAAGGCCGGGCAATACGTCGTTGTACATGTTTGTATTAAAACGAATCAACAAAACTCATCATGGTAAACCGATATAATTTATGCTCGTGTGCAGGCGTTTTTTTTGTTTTGTGGTTGCATCGTCCAATTAGATTTCAATTGAGAATTGAGTTCTTTGAGAAGCTCCCATAATTGAAGCAATTAGTTCCTGAAGATGACGGAGGTGATGCTGTCGAGTCAATGAGTCAGAGCGGTAACTGGTACTCCCCGAGGGTGACATAAAGAAGTAAACACTCGTGGTGCAACTCACTTTGTACGATCAATCAAATGAACTAAAACTCTCGCATGTGCTTAAGGGTTGTAGATTGGTTGCACACGTGAACTGAATTTGCTTCAGTTCCTTAAGATACTCCCAGCGCGTGCAGCGAAACGTCAGACAATCATGCCCAAATTAACATGCCGTGTAAATTTGAAAGCTCGTCAGAGGAGCTAAACATTATTTGCGTGTTTTTTTGTTATATAGCTGTACAGAACAGCAGTTTTCTTAGAGAATAACACGAGCCACTCGAAGCGTCATTGTCAGTCATTATGCAGTGCGATCACACGTCATAGCAATCCCAATTACGTGAGTTGCTTTTCACAAGACATGTATTTGA